TAAGATGATATCTAACAGAATTGGGCTCAGGAACTCATGCTTGCTTAGTTGTGCAGCTTTCATTTCAATTGTATTCAAATCATCTATTTTCCTGCAGTCCTCTCTGAGAAGCTGCCTACCCCTTAAATTATATTAGTATATAATATCCTCCAATAATACACCATATCACCTCTACATTCCTCAGCATATCTATTCACTGAGAATGTTCAGGGATGTGGTGAAACGAGCTCTTACCAGATCACAAGAACCAATGTGTGTATCTCTTCCCGGCTCTGCATTCAGTGATGTCACATTGATACTTTGAAACTGACCACAGTGAGCGTATTTATACTACAGAAACCAGCAAAAGCTACAAATCTGGACCCTTGTTTTCAGAGAGCAAGTTTACCGGCATACCATGGACTAGATTGTCTCTGAAGACCCCTAGGACCAGGACTCTTCAACATGACTAACTATAATACAGCAAATAGACTGAAAGTCTAAAATGAAAAGGATCATTATCTAGTCACTTAGTTTCACTGCATCGACACTCAAATAAAAATGTAAATTGAAAACATGTAACCTAAGGAATATTTTTCTAAAGACCTTTTTTTTCTTTCTCTCCTTGGTAGGTAGGATTCTTGGAGTTTACTAAAATAGAAATTATCTATATTTAAATCAGGTGGAAAAGCAAGATACAGCTTTGACCTAGAAGAATGTGACACTTCAAGTCATGAAAGGAGAATAAATAACATTTTCTTGTATCAGTCTCTGTCCCAGGAGGTCTTGGGTTATTAATATAAATGCTCGAACAAATAGTACTTCACCTGGGAGGACTGGTTCTTGCTCGGCTACTCCAGGACAAGCTCCACAAAGCCTATTAGTCAAACAGCCTGCGCCAGATTAAACCCTCTCCTGACTCCAATGCAAAGGCCTCGTTAGGCCTCCTTAGAATCCCCCCAGTTCTCCTTGTCTATCTGGAACACGACACTAATAGAAGGTAACTGTGTGCAGTGGGCCTGTCTGCCAGGGGATGTAAACAGCCCCTGGGAGGACTCCCTCATGGGGGGCTCTCAGTCTTTCAGTTTCCAATAGTCCTTACTCATAACAGCCCTCTGTTGGGGCAATTTCTTCAACCAGTTTCCTCTGGACCATGAATGCAGCCCAAAATTCAGCTCTAAAGTCGTAGACTAGTAAATGCAGAAAGAGTCTCAGGGATATTTTGCTCCAGTCTTCCTTTTACAGGTGAAACCCAGAGAAAGAGGGCCACTTGCCCAAAGTAACAGCAAAGCCAGTATACAGAACTAGAACTCGGGACTGTCCCATGCCAGTCCAGGGCTCTTTCCATGGATATTCTGCCCTTCCTTCTTTTACTGTCTCCCTCGGAGGTGGGAGAGAAGGGGCACCCGTGGGGGAAAGGAGGCAGCATATTTATTACCTGTACATTACAGTGGTCACAGGTTTCACAGGTCCCTAAGTCTGTGAGAATGTCAAAGGTCTCTCAAACACTCAACTAATGGACAGAGATTTCACTGAATTTAATTTGTGATGCAACTGTTCTATTTAATTGGTTGAGTCATTTCTTAAAAATCTTTCTGATGCATACCCCAAATAATAACTGAATACAAAGGCACAAAAAGGAGAGAATTTAATCAAAATATTCTAGTGCTTCCCTTCAGAAATAATTTAAGGACAAATAAATAGGAAGTCTTACTTCATTCACCTAATTGGATAAACCTCTCAATAAATTCTTCCATTATCCCAGTAATAGAAGACAGAATCTTCTATTTCATTTTCAATGTGAAGAAGAAAGTTTCTAAACAAAACAGACCTTAAGAAATCATTGTAGCCTCAAGCTAGCTTTAAAAAGAAAAGAAATGTTATATTATTTAATGTTTTTGCAAGTTCCTTTTAGAGCACAAATCAGAAATTGCAAGAACAGATTTTCATGTGTGGCAATACAAACATTTTAATGGAAGAATTGTGGGTCTATGATTTCATTTAGTATCTGAATTACACTTAGATGGTTCCTATTGTCTGCATGGGATAAATAGCATTTTTATATCATGTATAAAATTGCCAAATTACAAGGCTAAATGGTATGTGCGTCAGAAGTCCCAGAGACTGGCTCCCTCACCTTGCAGATGAGAGAAGTACAGGCAGGGAGGTGCTGGGACACACCCAAGGTCATAAAGCTAATTAGCCTCAGAGTCAGAAATAGAATCTGTCCCCTGACTCCCCAGAATGTATGCTGCTGAGCACTCTCACAAAGTTTACAAGGCATCTTTAACCCCAATTTCCATGTTTTCATTAGATATATGAAAATTGTAATAGTACTATTTCTAATGTTTGCTCCTCAGTTACACTCTCTTAGTGTATACATGTGTAACATCAGAATATTTATGCTTTGTCAGTGACTCTCCCCACTGGCCCTTAAAATATCACAGTGGTTGTAGGGCAGAAGGAAAAGAGCCCAGGTCTAGGACTCAGATGGAACAGAGTTTGAACCCCAGCCTATTGTGTATAAGGTTAGTGATGTTGGTTAGTGAATCAACTAAAGTCTTTGAGCCCCAATTTCCTCATTGAAAAATGAAACAATTAATGTCTACTTTGGTAAGATTAATGCAAAGTCCCTGGGATAATGTCTGGATTTGTTGGAGTGGGGGGTTGGAGGGGAGCTGAGGAAAGAATTCCTTTTGACATTTGAAATCCACCATATTTCTGGTCGGTCTGAATTTATTCATTCATAAAATATTTATTAGGCACCTTCTATAGCCAAACATTGTTCTAGATTCCAGAGATACACTAGTGAGGCAGATGGACAATACCCTGGGGGCATCACCCAGCAGGTCCTGGTGGCCCTAAGGGGACACACAATGAAGCTGGTTTTACATGTGGCAGAAAAACTGCAAACTGGACTCAGCTGCTACTAAGGGAATGAGCTGCTGCTAAGATGCATTGCTGGGAAGACAATCAGAATCTGAAGCCAAGCAGGAAGAAAGTCTTCCCTCCTCCAACTGTAAGGCTCCCTCTGGCGCCCCCTATTGATGGAGTCTAACAGTCAGCTTGAAAAGCAGAAAGGGGGTTTACAATCCCAACCCCAACATCACAAAGCAAAGCATCAAGGGTAGGTTTGGATCTTAAAGACAGTATTTTAACAAATGACATAGATACATCCCCAGGAAGCTAGTCACTTGGCTTCCTTTAATCTCAACACAAGGTGAGTGGGCTTCGATCTTTCTGTGAAAATTTGGGAACCTCGCTTTCCAACTACTGCTTAGAATTCTAAACCTTTTATTGCAAAACACCAACTACTCAAAACAGTGCGCACCTGTGTGGTTTCCTTCATTTTTTTCCAAGGCAACATCTCTCTGTGAGTTTGTTTATTCTTAAGTATTTTAATGTTACAATAAATTTACTAGAATGACATGTGGGGAAAGGAGAAGAACATGAGGGACTCAGAAGGTAAGAGAGGCCTGTGGGGGGAAAATTGGGAAATTTGGGAAATCACAGCTGAGAAGAACTTTGGGAGGAGAAATGAAGCCTCTATGAGGGCTTTTTCTTAAGTTTTACCAAGAGGAATGCCAATACTAGTCTAATCCACCTCCCTACAAAATCTACAAGAAAATTTGCATCACGCACAAATGTTTTGTGGACTTGGATTTTATTATTACCACCACCACCATCATCATCAACAACATCATTATTAGAATAGGTAATATATACATTGGTACAGAAGATAGAAAAGACAAAAGAGCATACAATAGTTGTCTTCCTTCTACCACTACCTCCCAACCAATGAAGAATAAATACGATGGCAGATGTATTGTGTCAGGACCCATTTTCAGAACACAAAACCCATCTGCTTAGCACAAGGAGAATCATTCTAGATATTAAGTACTGTACTAGATTTATTGGAAAGTGAACAAAACAGAATCTGGGCTGAGTTTCTAGGAACACCTCCCAAAGCCTCAACATAGAATTAGGCCACCAATAGAGCATCTGTTCCTCACTGAGTTAGGAAATTACTGGCAGCTTAAATGCCCACATTTGTCACAATCTTCACCAAGGTGGGGGCCAAACACGGCACCTCTGCTACAATTGCTATAGGAAAACTAAATGTGCCCTCATCTCTGCTCGCCAGCACAGATGGCAAAGAGCAGCCTCCAAAATGCTGTATTCCACTTTGCCTGCTAAATATCAAATTCCAAAAAGAACTGCAAGTGCAAGAGCATCTGTGCCATGCAGAGCTGGAGTGGGCACTGAGTGTGCCTCTCCCTGGGACCTGCCACAGTAGAAATCCTCTACATGATAGCAAACATATGAACGTCTCCAGAAATAAAAAAATTGTGTGGTACTAGCAGAAATTTAGAAACACAGGGCAAAGAGACCAAAATCAGAATCCAGAAAGACACTCATCTATATATGAACATTTAGTAAAAGATAAATACAGCATTTCAAAGCAGTAAAGACAGTATAAGATATTCAATTAAATGGGTACTGGAACAACTGGTGAACCATTTTTACATCTATAAAGCTACATCATTCACACACCAAACAAAGAAATTCCAGATGGAGTAAAGAGCTAAATGATAAGAAGTAAAACTACAAAGTATAAAAATAAATGGTAAGAAAACATTGGTCTTATCTTGGAGTGAAGATGCCCTCTTCAGTGAGCCACAAACTCAGAAAATACAAAAGAAAATCTTGACGTATTTGACTCCATAACATTGAAAACTTCTGTATGACAATCTGAAAGGGAATGGAGAACTGTGTCACCAGTGCAGCTTTTTTTTTTTTTACTTTCTTGATTAACTTATTGGGGTTACATTGATTAATAAGATCATATAGGTTTCTGGTGCGTGATTCTATTACAGATCATGTGCATATTGCACTGTGTGCTCACCACCCCAAGGCCGGTCTCTTCCACCACCGTTTACCCCCATTCCCTCTTCTGCCCCCTCCCTCTGGGTCACCATGCTGTTCCTGTGTCTACACTGCAGCAGCTCTGAACTCACGCTCTACTCCTCCAGAACAGTGGACACCGTCGTAGTGTTAAGCTCGCTGCTCACAGAGGCAGAAGTCAGTTGGATGCTCTTGTCTACAGTGGTGACTCTTCCACCTACAGTCTCCTCGGTGTTCCTCTTTGGCCTCAGCAAAATAATGAAGCACTTGGGAGCAAATATACAGCCCAATAAACCATAGCTGGATGCCAAGATTGCGAATATTTCCACAGCCACTTTGAACTTGCCTCTGGTGCTCAAATAAGCAGGGACAAAAGAGATCCAGACAATGAAAAAGACCAGCATCCCAAAGGTGATGCATTTTCCTTCATAGTAATTATCAGGCAACTGGCGAGCCACAAATGTAGTAAGGAAGCACAGCAAGGACAGAAAGACATCAATTCCAAATATAGTGCATAAAAATTCTATAGAACCTTCGTCACATTCCAGAATGATCTTTACATTTTGAGATTCCATGTTCTTGTACACCCTTGGGGGTTTCAATATCAAATAGGCTGTGCATATGCTAAGCTCGACTAGAATAGAGATTAACACGATGATCTTCCGATAAAGGGGGTGGATGGATATAAGTCGGGTTTTGGATTTGGAAATTCTGTAGGCTAAAAACAGTGAAATAGTCTTTCCAAGGATGGAGGACAGGCAAAGAGAAAAGCCCAGAGCCAGGGTGACCTGGCGGACCATGCAGGACCAGCTGCACGGCCTGCCAATGAAAAGCATCGAGGACAGCAGCGTGATGCCCAGAGACGCCTGGAGGAGAAAGCTCAGCTCCCGGTCATTGGCGGTCACAAGCGGGGTGTGCCTGTACCTCACATACACAACGGCGACTGCCAAGACCAGAAGCGTCCCAAAGACGGAGAGAATGACAAGCGTGAATCCCAGGGCCTCATCATAAGCCAGGAATTCCACTTCTTTCGGCACACACTCGCTCTTTTGTTCATTTGACCAATAGTCTTCATCACATTGAGTACACTCTCTCTGACCTAAGGAACAAAGAACAGAGGACTGACTGCAAGGAAATCCAAGGGACCCCCTTCAGTGAATAGCCCAGATCAGCCAAAGGCCTAGTAAGATCCCTTTATAGAGAATATATAGTATCTCCCAAAGGCAGTGATAAAGTGGTCCTAGAGTGTGCAGCTAACATTACATATTGAGAATTATTTTCAGTTTGAGAAATTCAGTCTCATTCTTGGTTTCAGTCCAAGAATGAATGGGCTTTGTGGCAGAGAGATGCCTCTTTCTTTCTCTTCCAATTATCTAATTGAGGAGGGAGGTGTGTATTCTCATAAACCCCAGAACAATTCACAAATTATTTCCCATATATGAGAAATTAAAGCTACTGAAGTAAAACAATCATGAGGATTAAACAGGGATATGAGTGTTTTCAGTCTGCCACTCAACATCACCCCTACCTATTGAAGAGAATTATCCCCTCTGCTCTGCCCTCCTCACCCTACACAAACAGATTTGAGAGAACAGGTCGAGGACTGAGAAAAAAAATAAGGGAAACACAAATAACAACCATGTTGACTGAAGTTGAGGAAACATTTGGGGCATTTAGCTGGTCAGAGGCTCTAAGGGAGAATATGGCTACATAAGAAAAAGTTATTTGAGATGAATTTGTGGTAGATTATGAAATAGACCTCTTTCATATTCTTTGAAAGAATACAGATTAGGATCCCTTTTCAATCACTCTGACTGCAGGACTGGACTTCTCTTGATGTAACTCTGCAGAGACTGGGCCACATGGGGTCCAAGGAGTTGTTCAGGTTACATTGTACTTGTTCTGTATTGGGGAAAATTTTTACATTTTTAAAACTTCTCTCTTAAATAAATTTATATTGAGGGCTTTTGGCAGAAGACAAGTACAATTTGTATTCTCTTTAACAGAAGGTAGAGGTAAAAATAAGCCTGCTCCAGCCTGGCTCAGCAATTGAGCATCAACCTAGGATCCAGGAGATCGTGGTTCGATTCCCAGTCAGGGCACAGGCCCAGGTTGCAGGCTCGATCCCCAGTAGGGGGCATACAGGAGGCAGCTGATCAATGGCTCTCTCATCATTGATGTTTCTCTCTCTCTCTCTCTCTCTCTTTCTTCCTCTCTCTGAAATCAATAAAGATATATTTAAAAATAAAAAACAAGCCTGCTCCACCATGTTTCATAAGACTAAGCATACCAACTCCAATAAAATCATGACGAGCAAGCAGCAGCTCAGCAGGTTGCCGTGAAGAATTCAAAGGGCAGTAGTTACAGAATTCATCTGTCCTGCAAACCTTGAGTAATTATGGCTTTAAGCCAATTGTCTTTAGGGATGGAATTCTCAATCTTATAGTTCCAAATTAGAAATAAACTGAAATTCACTTTTTTCCCCAATTAGTTACTATTTGGAATTCACTTATTTTTCCAATTAGTTACTATTTTTTCATAATTAATATTTAATATATTTCAGAAATAAAAATAATTTTAAATACTTTTTATGAATCCATTTATTCATAGTTCACATTTTAAAAAAACCTTTCCTCTCTTAAATTCTTTTTTTTAACAATATATCTTTATTGATTTCAGAGCGAAGAAGGGAGAGGGAGAGAGAGAGATAGAAACATCAATGATGAGAGAACCATTGATCAGCTGCAGCCCACAACCCGGGCATGTGCCCTGACCAGGAATCGAACCCTGATCACCTGGATCCTAGGTCGATGCTCAACCGCTGAGCCACGCCTGGATGGGCCCTCTCTTAAATTCATGGATGCAGGTCTTTTTCCCACTACAACAGCTTTAGAACTGAAACCAGTGTTATTTTTTTTTCACACTGCACTAAATGGTTTTTTTTACAAGTTGTTCACACCTATTTTCACAGAAGCCTCCCAAGAATCTTTTCCCCAAGCATGTTTAATCTAATTGTATTTTTATATCAGTGAAAAAAATGACTATCTTTACCTGGTTCCTCTGACACGTGTCCATCAGCACAGGGGATGCAGTCAAAACAGCATATGGGTTCCCCATAACGAATCCCCTTCCGGGTGCCGGGGCGGCACACATCTGTGCACACTGAATAGGGGAGCTGGCAAAGACAAACAGTGCATGTGACAGCCCTTTGTCACCACCACTTGTGAAGCTAAGAGAGTTCACATCTGGGCTTCTGTAGAAGTTTTGTGATATCTTGGGTAACCCAGGACAGCTGGGCAAGGATAACAGACAAAGAGAATAACAGCATGAAGAGCCGAGGGAGGAATTTTGCTAAAAGTCAGCCTTGGGGTTGAGTCTAGATGTGCAAAGCTACTCCTAAAGCTAGACCTCTCCAACATTAGGAACTCAGACTAGACTCCATGCCCATGAGACTCTGGGGAGGGCACACTTTGACAAATCCTGCTTGAGAGGAGGCTGTGACCCAAGAATTATCTTGAGAGCCTGAAAAAGATTTCTTCTCCCAAGGTCATCCCAGAATAGTCTGAAAGCCAAGGATGTGTCATAGTCAGTGGAAAAGAAAAATGAAAGATCTGCTCCACAGGAATAACTGGCACAGCAGACAGGAAAAACAGACAAGGTGTAGCACTGGAACATTCTCTCACAAAAAGTATAGACATCTCAATGGGAAGCACAGGCTCCCTTTACATTCTGCATGGATGTGCACCTTGGGACCCAGCACAAATTCAATGTTTGTGAATCAGTTTATATTATAATGTAAAGGAAGAGTTTCCTATTTAAAAGGGAGATAAAATGTACTTTATTTCATTTATTTTTTGTTGTTGAATTTATTGGGGTGACATTGGTTAATAGAATTGTACAGGTTTCAGGTATACTGTTCTGTAATACATCATCTGTATATTGTATTAGCAAAGATTCATTTTGAAAAGTGAGTAATCGCATTTATATATAATTGAAATCAGAATTTTCCTACATTAAATCTGAATTAGATAACAATGGAAAATACGCATTAGAAATCTCTGAGTGTGGTTATGGTATGTAACATGACTGAAATACATATTACCACTATATACAACAGATAAGCTTCTTATAAGATGTGTGTGTGTGTCTCCACAGAATGAATTGGATTTCCTCTCCCTGACCCAGTCTTCTAAAAAGAAGTCTCAGTATACTTTTCTTTGAAAATCATCATGAACAATGAGCTGAGGCCTTTTTGTTTCATTTCTCAGTATCCCTTTCTTTCTCCACTCTCACAATCTAGTTTTCAACCCACTCACCTCACTAAAATGTTCCTTGCCATGCCTGATAGCTTTTACTCTAGCCACAGTCTCCTTCATCGCTCTTCAATAGTTGGCAAATTGATCAGTCCCTTCTTGACTTGCAGGCTCCCTTGGCTTTCATTGGGTCCTTTTATTATTTTGTTGGTGCTGCTTCCTTTGCCTTCCTGGTCAGGGTGGGCATTTTCTTTGGTTTGGTCCTTGAACCTCTGCTTTTATCTCTTGACATAAAGCACCTTATTCTCTTGTCTTTGACCAGCAGCTCTTTGGAAGAATTTCCAAATCTTGTTGTCTAATACCAGCCTTCTCCACCTGACCTCTACTTCCATGTTCTAAACTTCTAACATCCCTACTGTGAGTTTTCACAATCACCTCAAATTCATTGTCCAAAACTATCCCCATTAACCCTGTTCCTCCTTCTGAATTCATTTCTGTCACTGATACCACCATTCTCATCTAACATCTCCCACTTTATCTTCTATAAGTTGCCTATATGTAACCCCCTCCTTCACGCAGGCCCACGTGCTCACCAACCTTAAGACTCAGTTTACCATTGTAAGTTAAACTTGCTTTATATCATCCACTCATTGTTTGATGCAGGTGACTTCCAAGTCCAATCGGTCAGCAAATCCAGTGGCTTCTACCTGTAAGTTATCCACAATCTAACTCCTTTGTACCGTTTCCATCACATTTGTCCTAGACCAAGTTACCTTCATTATTTTGGATTATTTCATTGTTCTTCTAACTGGTTTCCCTGGTTCTACTCTTGTCTCCCCACAGCACCCTTACCTTCAGTCTATTTACAACCTGGCAGAGATGATCCTTTAAATCCTAGATCGCATCATGACTCTCCTCTGCCAAGAGTCTTCTGTGGCTCCCCTTTCACTTAATGTAAAAGCCGAAGTCCTTTACTAGCCAATAAAGCCCTACGTGCCCTGACTCTCTCTCTCTTCTTCTCCTTCTCCTAGTGTGTATGTATATATGTATGTGGGTGTATGCTTTTGTGAGTATCTATGAGTTTACATATATTTAGCTACCCACAGAAAACAGAGAGAAAAAAGGCTAAAAGCGATTAAAATAAAATAAAATAAAATAAAGAAATAAAAAATGTCTTCTAGGTGTCTGGCACAGCATAGGAGCTCAGAAATCTTAATTTCCTTGTCAGTTATTTGTAGATCATTTGAAATGTAGTAGAAGTAATTAGTCTTTCAGAATAATTTGAAAGACTAGAGATCTCAGCCCTTAGGTCAAAAGGGCCACACAAGAAGAGAGAAGATAGATAAATAAAAAACAAGATGAACAAACACCCCTGAAAAAAAAAGTCTTTAGGCAGCAAATTAAAAGCACTGGGTGTACTGATACCCACTTTCAGCTCTCTCTCAATCCTGCTGGTTCCTTCGTTCTGAGAGTAATGTGGGAGATTAAGTTGCCAATGCTTCTCCACCACCCTATCCTTTTACTGTAACCTACAGGTCACCTGTGGTGAACACTAAACTAGAATATCAAAAGCACGATAGTCCTACTCTCTTACAACTAATATTTCATTAAGGGTAAAAAGTTCAGCTGCCCGGTTTCTTCTTAACTTCTGGTTAGTGACGGGGTTTCTTCTTAACTTTCCCCAACATGTCTCTGGGTGTCATCTTTCCATTGTGTACCCAGGGGACCCCCGTCTCTAGCTCGCCAACCACTTACTTCTCAGTCCTATATATTGAAGCTCTTCTGTTGCAAAATAAATGAACAAACAAAATAAGAACAGACTCACAGATACGGAGAACAGACTGATGGTTGCCAGAGGGAAGCAGGGTTGGAGGCTTGAGTGAAGAAGGTGAGGGGATTGAGAAGTACAAACTCGTAGTTCCTGGGGATAGTCACAGGGATGTAAAGTACAACACTGGGAACATAGTCAATAATATTGTAATAACTATGTATGGGGCCAGGTGGGATGCCTGGTGGGGGGGTCACTTTATAAAGGATATGATTGTCTAACCACTATGCTGTACAACTGAAACTAATACAAAATAATATTGAATGTCAACTGTAATTGAAAAGTAATTTTTTAAAAAAGAAAGCTCTCCTGTTGCTATAGAGAAGAAATAAAATTGTAATAATAGCTTATGAATGTCTAATCATTATGCTGTGTAACTGAAACTAATATAATATTGTATGTCAAATGTAATTGAAAAAAAAATTTTAATTTAAAATATTAAATAACACCCTGCCGGTTATGGCTCAGCGGTTGAGCATCAACCTAGGATCCAGGAGATCAGGGTTCGATTCCCGGTCAGGGCACATGCCCAGGTTGCGGGCTAGGCAGCCGATCAATGACTCTCTCATCATTGATGTTTCTATCTCTCTCTCCCTCCCTCCTTTCCTCTCTCTGAAATTAATAAAGATATGTTTAAAAAATAATAAAATATTAAATAATTTTTAAAATAAAATGTTCTTAAACAATTGTAATAATGATTTAAAATAAAAAATAAAATAAAAAATAACTCATTATTAATTAATAATGAATCCATGAAATAACAGCTTTTTATCTAGTATAAGTAACTTTACATCCAAAACCAGTAAATTTAATCGTCAGACCTTACTTCTACTACATCTCAGAACAATTATGAAAACAACATTTTGGAAAGACTTTTGAAGCTTATGAAACTCATCTTGTTCCCTATAATCTCTCAATAAAAGATTCGTGAATGATATGTTAAAGTTTATTGACATGTATGTGCACCCATACATACACGATGCTGGTAGCTAATGTTCCCTGCCTCAAATTATATTATGACTTTGTAAACTCTCCTTCCCAGTCTTTGACCCTGGGAATAAATAAATCAGAAGAAAAAAGGGAAGAAGAAATGAAGCCTCTCCAAAACTACCGTCAGGGAGAGTAGGAAGGACTTCTGGTTGCCCCAGGGAAATGGTAGCTGCTAAACTGTGTATCTCTACACACATTCTCTGAAAAAGACCATATGTGTTTTTAAAGTAAGAAAAAACTACCTATGACCTACAAACTTCAGCATCATAAAGAACTTGGGGATAGGGTGAACTTCGCAGTATTTGTAAGTAGAGAAATACCCATTACATTCCCGCAAGGCCATCTCTAGAGTCCCCTCCTCATAAGGGCGTGTGGGAAGTGAGGGTGTGGGAAAACTGCACAGGAAAGGGAGAGTGAGCAGAGAACCCAAGGCTATGGAGAGCAGGCCACATCATTCCTAGAAAAAAACTGCCCGCCCTGCATGAAAACAGGTCCAAAACCCTATAGAGGCAATGCTGGCTACTGGGAAAGGTCTTGGAAGTGGGACTCGAGAAGACAGTTTCAGAAAGGCACCGCTTCAGTGGGACCAGAAGATACAGAGAGAAGGAGAAGTGCCTTTTTAAGATGTAGTACAAAGGGAAAGAAGAAAGAAGAGACCTTTAAGAATCCTGCAGAAATAAACTGCTTTTCACTCTACTAACAGAAGAAGGCAGCCTTAGGGACTTGTAAGACACCCAAATAGGGACTTGTAAGACACCCAAAACTCCCATCCTTGACCATAAAAATAACCAAAAATAGAATTGTGCCTCGATAGATGTTTACTGTAGAAAGAAAACAGAAAATAAAAATCAAAACATTCCAGAAGATTAAAATTCCCCTCTAAAACACACACACACACACACACATACACACACACACACGCAGAATACTGTGGCACAGCACTTTAAATAAACATACTAGCACTACGATTAAATATTCTCAGGAAGGCACTTGGAGATGTGAAAAAGTATCTGATTCAAAATAAATCAGAAATTTAAAAATTAAAAACATAATTAAAACTGCAAGAAATTTTTTTGAAGTTTATTTTACTCAGAAAAAAAACTAAAGAAAAAGACTAAATTATTTGCATTTAAAAAAATGATATATTTGAATGAAAATTTAATAAAGGGCATTGACTAAAGTCAGCAAAACAACCAAGAGAATAAGAATGTGATAAAAAGGCAAAAATGATGAGAAAAGTTGAATAAAGTGAAAGACAAAGGAAGTCAAACACTTTGAAGTACTTGAAGAAAACATGTTAGAATTAATATTTAAAACTATAATCCAAGAAAATGTTCCAAAAAGAAAAGATCTGAATCTATATATAGAAAAGAGATGTACTGTACTTGGGAAAATTGACTTGGAATCGCCAACTCGAGGTGTCAGATATTTCAAAGTGCCTGAAACAATATGGAAATACAATTATCTGCACAGAAACAGAGTAAGGTGTTAGAGTAACTAACCTCTGAAGATTCGGTGTTCCAAAATATGGTCGCATTCTTTTGCAGCACGAATTCAAGCTTAGAGTCTGTAAATATATATTCTCCAACCTTCACAAAGGCAATCTCTCCATTGTCATCTAATTGCCAATTTAGAATATCATAGTATCCAGTCACATCTCCATCTTCATTAATTTCTATTTTCATTCCATTATGGGTAGTAAAATTAAGTGTCTTCAAATAGTACATTAACTAGAAAACAACAGAGAAAAGTAAAAATTTGATTGCCTAGAAAACAGGTTCTATAAAGAAAATAATAATCTAATATTATTTTAGACTATTATAATAATATTAAAACTAATCTAAGTCATAGGATTGGATATTTCTCCTTTTTCTCTATATCTTAGCTATCTAATATAACTTCTAGCCACATGTGACAATTAAAACTTGAATGTGACTGGCCAAATTGAGATGGGCTGTGAGTGTAAAATATACACTGGATTGCAAAGGCTTAGTTCAAAGAAAATTAAATTCTCATTAATAATTTCATGTTAATAATTTACATTATAATATTGTGACCACATGTTAAACTATTATTTGGGTTTAAATATAATTAAATTTAATTTCATCTGTTTCTTTTTATTTTTTAATTTTATTACTACAACTTTTTAAATTACCTATGTGGCCCATATATTTCTGTTGGGCAGCACAGATCTATGCCAATGAAAAGTGGTGCCTAATATTTCCTAATACCTCCATACCTAGGGAAGAAGGATATTTGACTTGCCTCCTAGATTTCTTCTACTTATAGGTACCATTTTACCCTACTACCACCAGTCCTTTCCCTAAACATCAGGGGCTAGAGATAGGAAGGTCAACAAGATCTCTTCCCTACCCTTGCAAAGCTCACGGTCCAGTGGAGAGGCCAGACAGATACAAGCACTAATAGTAAAATTCAATGTGCTCTATGTTGCTGTTGTGGAAAGAGTGTTGAAACAACATAGGTGAGGGAATGACTAATTAATTGTTTTGGGAAAATTGGAGGAGGTTCTGAGGGCTGATAGTGCCAGACCAGGGTTGCTCATGCTGTACGCTTTCCAGGTAAGAGGGGAGGCACTGAAGGATGTAAACAGAAGAGCACTCTGATCTTTGTGAGATTGGGCTACTGTATCCCAACATGAATTGCTGGGGCATCAGACCTGAGGCAGGAGATATGAAAGCCATATCTCCAAGTTGGCACCCAATAATCTTCACCTCCTGGCTTCATGCCTTTTCACGACCCCTCCTACACTGTATAAAGACTACATATTCCAGTTTCCCTTGTAGCTAGACATGACCATAACACTAAATTCTGGCTAATGGGATGCAAGGGGAATTGTATGTAATTTCCAAGAAAGATCCTTAAATGGAGAGATGTACAAATCTTTGCCCTTTCTCCTTCCTGCTGATTAGAGACATGATGATTGAAGCCATCTGAGATTATGAGGTGAACCCACATACTGAGGACAGTGAAATGAAAAGGTAGAAAGAACCTGGATCCATAAGCCACTTTTTCATTCCTAGAATACTAACCTCTATTTTGGGGAGTTGTCTGTCCAGAATTCACAACAAACCTAATAATAACTCTGTTAACAAATAGGAACTTCAAAATTCTCATTTAGGTCACATGAGAAAACCATTCCATTAGGTGAGCATGTAATAAAATCATGCCTATTAAATACTAAAGCAAATCAAAGGCTTTATTAGCATGCATGCTTTTAATGTCAAACTATACCATGAAGTAAAACAAACAACTTACCTCCCAAGGCTCAAAGTTAGGTATTCGTGCACAGTAGTTTCCCGCAGCATATGGCCCATATCCGTCTTCACATCTACTTAGACCATCCAAGGCATAAGCCATAGAATACACGGCTTGCCTGACATTGTTTGTAATTCTTAGCTGAGACACATCCAGATAGGTATTTTTAAGATCTTCCAACTTCTCCTCTCCAGTACAGAGTTTATCAGACATGGCATATAACCTGTCCTCTTTACCAGTCATATTCACTCTATGGTCAATGTTGTATGGAACACTACTATTGGGCCAAGTACAGTTAAAAGCAGTTTGCCAGAATTCAATGGTCAGAACATCATTTGGATCCTTGTTAGGATGAATATCATAAAGAAATTCTTTTAATCCTGGTATATCAGCTCTTGGTATTGCAAATCCAATGCTTCCACCAAAATATGGAAAATATTCAGGCTTTGCAATGAGGGCTGAAGTTATCCAGGCTTCGCTCGCTATCCACGTTCTGTCAGTTATGTTATGGTAAACCATCTCCAGCGCAAAAGGCATGAGTTCAATATCAGATGCATAAAGTACAATGACTCTGGCAGTGGATTTCTTTATAGCATCAATAGCTTTCTGCATTTTCTCATTGGAATAGACTTTGGGAATGGTTTCAGAGAATGCAAGACAGAGGTTGGCCCTCTCCATTTTTTCCTTAAACATTTTTACTCCATATTTTCCATAATCATCATCAGTTGCAATAGTGCCAACCCAGACCCAACCGAAGTGTTGGATAAGTTTTACCATGGCCTCCGACTGGGCCTTATCACTGGCTACTGTGCGAAGATAAGATGGAAACTGGTATTTGTCACTAAGTATTGAGCAGGTAGAGGCATAGCCCACCTACAATTGAAAATAATGACGCAGTTATTAGAAAGCAATTGCGCAATCTCAAGTGACACGGTCTCCCAATAGTTTTATTGGAGAAGGAGAGAAGTTAACAGTTCTCCCTTTATTCTTGAATCTTTCTATAGACAAAAGTACTTCTATTCCTCTCCCTATTCAGTGGGTGGGGACTGTTGAGGGAACACTTAGGGCTTCCTCACCCACCCTTTTCCCATTCCACCCGGAGGGAGTTGGAGGAAATAACTGTTAAGATAGTTAATTAAATGCACCACTTTTCACAGGTGAGTCAGAGCATTTACTGAAAAGAAGTTTTTCTGCCCTTTCATCTATGTACTCCTGAGACTAGGTATGTGAGCCAAGCGATGCAGGCTTTCTCAGATCTAACTTATCTCTCCCTCGCCTTCTCTCTCTCTCATCACCACCACTTTTCTCTCTCTCCTCCCCTCTTTCCTTGTTTCTCTCTGCCAGGGCTTTTGGGTGTTTACGCTGCACGACTCAAACTGAGAAAGAGATAGGAGGCACCACTTCAAGCTCAGGCCTAAGTCATGTTCTTCAACAAAGTTACTAGAAGCCCTCATTTTATTGATACTAGTCTAGATAAGTAAAGAGGTACTTTTTTCTCATTTTTTCCAGTGATCCCTGTGTGTATTTTTCATCAGTGAACACTTAAGAATTCAGCACCATGAATTCCTGTCAGTCTTACAGGCATTTCTGCTGTGTTTTACTCTCACCCTCACTGAATCTACGATGAAGAACTTCGGTCACATTCCCCCCTAAGCCATCCCATTCCCAGCCCATGTTAGTAATACACCACCTCCAACAGGACCTCTTGTATTATAGCTCCAGAGCTCCATGACTGTCTATTCTTTCATAAGTGACAGAATAGTCCTACTTTTTCTTTTCTCTACCTTTTGTCCTATTCTTATTCCACTAGCTAAAGTTTATGTTCTTCTTTGGAAACTCATAAGCAGCAGTGTCAGGGAAGCCATATGTAGGAAGAAATCTCATTTAGAATGCAGAGGCACCTGATTTTAAATTCTGGCTACCTAATTAGTATAAGATTGTGAACAAGTCATTTAACCTTCTGACTCTCAGTTTCCCTACAAGTAAAATCAGGGTAATAATATCTATATCTTAAGTATATTAAGTATACTTAATATATACTCAGTGTATTATAAAGGATAGTATACTTGCTATATAAAATACGTTATATATTTTAATGATTTAATATACTCAGTACATTAAGTGAAACAACACAAGTAAAAGTGGTGAATAAAAGATTTCTTTTACCTTTTTTGCAGATTTACTACAAGGATTGAAATAGGAAAATCTATCTAGAGGTTTCTAGCCAGTGCCTGGGCCACAGGAAGAATTAGGCGGAAGGGAGAGCTCACAGCAGCAGCAATCTGTCTGAGCTGCATGAATTCCACCCCTAAGGTGTCAGCTGTGTCACAGGGCCCCTCCTCTTGGTTCTGCTTCTCAGTATTTTTCCGCTCCTTCTAATTTGTATTTGCAGCTTTTTAAGAAGTTCTATGTAAATGAGCCATTTTATAATTATTTCAAATTCTCCCATTACTCTGTAACACAAATAAGCTTAATTATTATCATTCACATTAATAAATCTTGACTACTGCCGAACCGGACGTGGCTCAGCAGTTGAGCATCAATCTAGAATCCAGGAGATTGCGGTTCAATTCCAGGTCAGGGCACATGCCGGGGTTGCCAGCTCCAACCCAGGTCGGGGGTGTGCAGGAGGCAGCTGATCAATGACTCTCTCATTATTGATGTTTCTATCTCTCTCTCTCCCTCTCTCTGAAATCAATAAAGGTATATTTATAAATAAATAAACAAACAAACAAATAAATAAATAAATCTTGACTACTGATACTTTAATGACCCATCCTTAGAAATAATTATAGAACTTTATATTTTCTTAATATCCCACTCTTCTTAATATTATCTGTTCTTAAGTTGAAATGTGTTACCGTCTCTGAATTTAAAATAATCCATAAAGTTAGCATCCCAGCACTCTAGCTATCTTGTGAAATTTTCAGGATCATTTCAGTATGTTAATGTATAGAACAAAAACGGTCATGAATAATGAACATTAGTATAGGCAAGAAACATGTGTTCCTTATACCATCTATCAACCAACCGACCCGTATTTCTCCATCACTTCCTCTGTGTTTTACCTGTGCTACAGTGTGTAGTGTTTAGTGAGATGTTAATATACAAATCACTGGGTAACAGCCTCAAGTCAGAAATTAAAGAGGGATCCAAAGGGCTGCAGAAGAGTCTGAAATCACCTCCACATAGGCATCAGGCACACTTGCAGAGGCAGGGCCCAGCAGAGTACTTAGGGGCAGGAGCATCGCCACCACCCCCATCTGTCTCTGCCCCTTACCCCAGCCTCGCCTCAGCTCCTTACTATTTGCTACAATGTCCACAAACATAGCTTGTACTTCTTTATAAATTAGTACCTAGCACAATAATCTGAGATACCTGAGGTATATAATACAGCCCGAGAACTCTTGAAGTAGCAATCGATAAGGACGATCCACCTGCCCCAACAACTCCTGCCAGATAGGCCCCGGTACTGTTCCTGAAGTTGGGCTTGTTTTCGTCCTGCCCTGTAAGGAACACCAAAGCTGCTTCCATAGACTTGGAGGTGCTGAAACAACTATCATAGATCTGGTAGCCCAACGTGAGGTTGGGCAGAATATCCTCCCTCTCGTTGATCTCCTTGATCGTATGAATCATGGTTTTCATCCAGCGGAATCCCCGGAAGTTAAACCTGAAAAGGAAGCAGGCCTTGTAAGTCAGGGGTGGAGGCCCTTGGGGGAAGCCGCTTTCAGGGGGGCTGGTGTGCAGAGCGATTTGCTGCGATAGCACCAGGCACCGCGCCTGCCTGAGCATGTTAACGTTTCATCAGTGACCTTGCAGACTTTGAGCCTTCATGCATGAATCACATTCATAATCATTTGGCTTGGGCTGTGAAGCGCCTTTTGGGATGTCATCTTGCTTTATATATCTTTCATATGATATAATCTCCCCCAAGCTGCCAATTACCTCTTTTCACAAAAACATTCTTATATTCTCAATTCTCTCCACCACACATACCCAATAACTCCTCACAATGTTTCCCCATTCATTGGAAGCTCCTGGTGCCATATGACTCTCCTTTCCCACCTGTCTTAGCTCCCTATAGGTTTCTCTAATTTTCTTTTGGATATTAATTATAATAATAAAAGTGACGTGAGTACATTAAAATACTTATGCTAGCTGTACATCAAAGCAGTATGTAAAATTTATATAGACTATATACACTATGGCTCCAATTTAATAATTTTTCCTGCCATGATCTGATTGTTAATGTTGAGAGACTTTTTAATTGAAAATGTCCCCTTTCTACCATTTTCATATATAATCATGAATAAATGCCCCCTTCTTTCCATTCCCTAGCCTTTAAGAGGAAAATGTTTCTCTTGCAGTCTCTCACCACATTTTTTTTTTCAATTTCTTCTCTATAAAAAATTAACTATTCTATTCCTAATTCTCTTTCTTCCCAGTTTTAACCAAATTTTAACCAATTTGAAAGCAAGGACCTCAAGATCTTTTCTCTTAATATCTTCTGTAGCTATAGTATCTAATTCCATGTCTCTTACTCAATAAATATTTTTAATTAAATGTGTGATAGCAAACGGCAGATTATATTTCTCCTCCTCGTCTTTTTAATTAATTACTTTCATTTAGCTTTGTTTTTCATTTAATGTGTAATTATTCAGTGCCACTGGTGTTAGACACTATAAATACCACAATGAGTAAGCCAGGCACTGCAACGTTGAAGTGAAGAACCAGAAAAATAGCCAAGTGATGCGCAAAATCATTAAGGAAACAAAAACAAAACAGTGATGGGGTAGATATAGGACCGTGAGATACAAAAGAGGGTACCTCACCCTGGAGGGTTTAACAGCCAGGCTGAAACTTGAAAGATGACATAAAAACAGGAGATGAATGCTGCAGGCAAAGAGAAGAGTGTGTGTGAAGGTATCACACAAAGAGAACATGAAACACCAGGGAATGGAAAGGTCGGTATGTCTGGAGGGTAAAGTGACAGAGAGTGTGGCACAGGGAAGAGGTGACTGGAGAACCAGAAGGTGCCAGAACATGAAGGGCTTCATCATCCTAAGATAGTTGGTTTCCAGATTTACACAGGTGGCAATGTAAATTCAAATACACATTTCTGAAGTAATTATAACAATATCTTTTTTAAGGCAATATAGCATTACATTGCAAGAGCTAGAAAGATGTTCACCTGCTTTGAATCAGTAATTCTACCCCTGAGAATTTATCTGAACAAATTGTTGTTCTCAAAGGAGAAAGCTATGTATGCCTCAAACTGTTCATCACAAAATTATTTAGAATATATTATTTAGAAACTGGAAAGGACTTACATGCTCAGTGATAATAAATTATGCTACATTGACTTGATGGAAACATTTTTTATCATTAAAAAACTATAATTAGTGAAATTACACAGCAGAATGCTTCTAATATTATGTGAAACAAGCCATATGCAAAGTTGCTTCAGTACTATAATTAAAACTACATATAAATTATATGAACATCTGGCTAAGTATCCACAAGGGAAAGTGTTAAATGAGCACAGGATAATCACTGGAAGGGTAGGATCTGGGATGTTTTTCTTCCGTTCATTGATTTCTATTACAATATTGACAGTAGTGTTGTACAATGTATACCTTTTTGTTCCCAGAAAATTTCTCTAAACCCTAACTTTGTTCAGATCACCCAAAACAAGAATTAAAATACTTCTTCCTTCCATTTCATTGTCTTTTTCTGCTGTGAACAATTTTTAAAACAATAGAATAGCTTCCTATTCAGTATAATTTAGCTGATGGCCAAACACAACTAGTATCTTATTAAAATGATGGATTTCAAATGAAATTCATCCAAACCCCAACCTGAATTTCTAGATCAATTCTAGGTACAGGTTAATGATACCAAAATGAAATTCTATCAAAGTAAGCCTTGAATACCACCTAGGCCAGGCCTCCTGCGGGGTCTCTCCCACTGGGAGGTAAGTTGCATCACATGGAGGAACATTAAGAGGCTTGGAGAACATTGGGGTTGGGTAATGATAGGAGGAAACTGTTGGCAGTTGTGGGTGGAAACGAATTATATAGCTCTAATTTTTAAAATATATCAAAAAATTTTAAATATTGAATGTTGTTAATATCCAAAACATATAGGTATATGTAGGATGGACTAAAGTTTCAGGGACAGTTTTAGCCTTGTACAGCCTAAAAATGAGCAATTAAATAAGAACAGGTGGGCTAGGTAGGGAAATCAAAGAGTGAATTATTTGTCAAATGGGATGGACTTCTCACCATTATTTCAACCACAATAGATATGCCAAATTATTTCTTAATGAAAGGAGTGGACTTTTATTAAAAATCGGTATATTGGCTTTTTCATTTAACCTTGCTAGGAAGATAACCTTCAGAAGTTCTGGTGAAGGATGTAGAACAAATTAAGTGATTCCATTTACAAAATATCGGTGTAGTACGACAAACTCTAGTGTTTATTGTATGTTATTAAAGATTAAGTGAAAACTTCTGTGATTATGAACTGACTCCACAATAATAAGCTGTGACCAAAAGCCCTTCTTGTCCCTCCTTCCTTTTCTTCACTGTAAAATATAAAAGGGTTAGAAGGTCCAGGAGAGAGGCAACTAGGGACTAACTGCAATCCTTTCCTTTTGCAAATATCATTATAGCTTATCCATCACTCTCATGATATTTTAAATATGTAGTGTGAAATATGATAAAAGGAAAACAGTTGTGATCAGTAAACATTTGATTTGTAAGAAGTTGCTAAAATGTTTATTTACAGCATGCATTTACAAGTATAATTACCATGTAGCATCATGGAAATGCTTGCTATATAATATAAAATGCCCAATATAAAATTGTCTCCATGCTATCTATGGTCACTACTATGCAAAAATTATGGCTGTATTTGTATAAAGGACTAAAAAAGAACATAGAAAAATGAAAAGAGCTGTTTTGTTAAGGTAGTAACAGTGGACAGCTATTTTCCTTTCTTTGAATTTCTGGTATTTTTCATGTCAAGAGAGGGAGACCACGTACACACATGTCACACCCAGAAATCTAACCCAAGTTTACCTTTCTTACAATGGGTCATGAACTAATTCAGATTATCAGTCATGGATCCCATTGACATGACAGTTTTGGAGAGAAGGGAGTAGGGCAGAAGCCTTCCAGCTGAAGGAATCTTGCTGTGAACATTAGCTCAGAAATACAGCATCCCCACACTGTATTTCCACCTGAGAGGAGTTGAGTCTAATAATAATTCATGATAAAGCTGCACCCCTGCATCATTCTGCATCAGTGCTTCTCAAACCTGAATGTACACAAATCACCTGGAGGTCTTGTCAAAGTACAGAATCTGACTCAGCACATGAGGGATGCAACCTGAGACCCCACATTTCTAACAGGCTTGTAGGTGATGTTGAGGCTGCTGGTCCAAAGACCACCCTTTGAAAACAATGTTCTGTATGAGACAAAACCTGTCCTCTTTCTGAGGCATCAAAGTGGGAAAGGACCCTCTTAAGACCAAGCTTTTCGTGTTTCTAAGCAATCCTAGAATCTCCACTTTGGAGAAACTGAGGCCTAAAAACAGGAAGTATCTATCCTGAGTTAAGTGAATAGTGTCAGAGTCAGGGCTGACATCATGGTTCCAGTTCTAGACTCTGACCCCCACATCCAACACTCCTTCACCCTCACCACGATTGATGTAAAAAGAAGACAAAAAAATGGCTTACCCTTCACATTTTGCTGATATTGGCTCCAAAATAGACTCATTTGCTGGAATGGTCCTGTAGTGAACAGGAAAAAGTCCTCCAACAACAAGTGAATGATTTTTGGCATCTATGTACCCATCCAAGTTGAACTTGCCCAGCAAACGGCAGGACTCTTCTTTCTCTTCTTTGCCTTCAATGCCCAGTTCAGCCCATAAAAAGGCAAGAAATCCCAGAACCACATATTTCTCCCTGCTGGTCATTTTAATAAGGTTAGTTTAGGAGAAATGACCAGCATCAAAAGTTTTAACGAGGCACCTTAACAGTGTCACAGTGTGTGCCACATCCCGGTGGACTCAGCTTGCCACTACTTGCCACATAATTGTCAGGCCTCAGTCAATCACAGAGCTCACATGCACCTGCAATTTATGGATCTGGATTAGGGGCTGAGTAAAAGAGCCTCATAAAGATTTATTTTGTGTTTAGCAATAATGTATAATGAAGTATAGTTGGTTTGGGGTTTTAAATAGTCATTTCATGTTGCAGAAATTGTCCCTTTCTTGTTTAATTGTACATCAGCTTCATTCATCCTCACTTCAGCCACCCTTGTCGGAGCTGTTCTTGCCCCAAAGGTGAGGAAGAGCATTCTGCTTTATCACAGAGTATAAAAAAGGTGACATCATGCCAAGCTCTTTCTTTAGAGGTATAGAAAAAGACAAGAGGGAAACCATGGGGGATTTGGACTACAAGAAATCATTTTGAATCCGTGTTCTGCTACTTGTATTAGTGTGATGGTAGGAAAGTCACTTGATTTCTGTGCCTCAAGTTCCTCCTCAGTGACCAGGACGATACTCTGACACCATCAGCATTATCATTCACCTGGGTCCCTCCAATCCTTCCATACAAAAGTCACTTCCTTCACCTCATCCCCACGGAAGGATTGCCAGGGCACGTTTTTGGTTAAGTGTCATCTCCATCTGACCCTAGGGAAACCGAAAGAGAGGTTCCCATTAGTACTTCCCTGGCAAAATTGCAGGCCTGTGCCTCAGTCTCCCCATAGCCTACTAGGTCTTCACAGGTGGGCTAGCAGGTGACCACCCCCAGCCTCTGACTGACATCTCAGTCTGTGGAATGTCTGACTAATCTTAGTTTTCTGACATGTGGATGGTTCACAGTTTCCACTGTCAGACTTTCACAATGATGCTGAAAAGATTTCGAAAAAGAGACAGATTCCGCCCTGGCCAATGTGGCTCAGTGTTTGGAGTTTTAGGCCTCACACTGAAGGCTCTCACATTGATGTCTCTCTCTCCATCTACCTACTATCTATCTATCGATCTATCTATCTATCTATCTATCTATCTATCTATCTATCTATCTATCTATCTATCATCTTCCTACCTACCTACCTACCTACCTATCATCATCATCTATCCCTCTCTCCCACTCTCTCTAAAAATCAATGGAAAAAAAATCCTTGAGTGAGGATTAACAATAACAACAAAAAAAGAGACAGATTCCCAGGAGAATCTCTTCCCAGATGTGCTTCAGTCTGGCTTCATCCAAACAAAACGGCACTCTGAGTGACAGGCCACCCACCAACAGCCTGAAAACCCCTCTCTTGAGCTGTTATGGTTTAGCCCACGGCCCTTCTTGGAACGATTTGGAACTATTCCTCACTCCCTTTTGCTCCCCCCTCTTGCCAGGAGGCAGCTGTTTCTAAGCAACTACCCCTCTTGTTGTCAAGGGTTACCCTTGCACAAAGATGTTTACCATCAAAGCTGATTTGTTTAATGCCCTGGGCAAAACCTGGGCTAGGGACCATAAAAATTGTTAAATTAGATTAAGTTACATCAATAATAACAAAAACTAGCATTTCTATAGCATTTTACAAATTCTTTTACAAACACCATCCTTCCTCTAGGTCAGGAACGGATTCAGTGTGGGCGAGGTTTCTGGTTGTGTGGCAGCACCTGGTACCCGGTGTCTGCAATTCTCAGGACGATAGCGTATTTGCCCAGGGCTGCGGAGATTACAGCCTCCGAACGTGGTAGGCTTCATCCAAGAGAGGCACAGGGCGAGAAAAACAACATCGTTGCTCTTATGCAGAGGGTTCTTATTAAGTTCACAGTAATGGATGCTCAACACCTCATCTGCCCTCATCACACCATATGGGACTGGTTTTCTTTTGTTCACTTTATAAGTGAAGAAATGTGAGTCTACAGGGCTAGTACGTGCTAATGGGAGATACCAAAGCCCATGTCCTTTCTGATGCCTTGTGGTAGAGAAGCGTGGGTCCTAAAATCCAGCTTCTTTGCCATTTGGTCCCCTCTTCGTCTCTTTGGACCACCAGCCCCTTATTCCAGAACAAGGGACTTTGAACTAAATGGCCTTTTTTTGGAGTGTGTGAATCTGAAGGGCTCAGTGATGCTCTGGCTCTGGATGAGCCTTTTCAAGGCTCAAGTTCAATGATAGCTTAATATGCTGTCGGAGCAAGCAGTAGCATGTCATTTTATTAACTGTCAAGGTGAGATTGTTTCTTCAATATGACTTTAAACCTCATTCCCATTCCCACAGGTCTCTGACTTAAAGAACCCCCAGTCAAGTTGGAAGACAACCAACAACACTGGTGCAAATGGCCACTGGCATTTAATCCCATGTGCCCGCGCCCAGGCTCCTAGGTCTGCATCTGTGGGGTGGGTGTTTCCACCACCTACCCCCAGCCTGTTTGCTCCTTGCTCTTCTCCAAGGGCCCTGGTGAAGACCAGGCTCCCCTCCAGGGACAGTAACACATTCTGCCCAGATATGTCCCTGCCTTCAAGCAAAGGAAAACAGCTGAGCCCCTAAAGGTTATGAGAACCGTCTTATTAAGGAAGGCTAAGCGAGTACTTGCAGGCTGTTATATGGTTTCCAGGAGAAGCTCGAACTCTTATCGACTGCAGATGAACACTGGTTCATGCCCCTAAAAAGCCCAAGCACCACAGCAGTGAACTCAGCTGGCTTATAGTGTCTTGGTCACACAAGCCTGTCAGATATTCCTTGGCTCTCCTATTGTTCCACATCATTCCCTCGGCTTTATAATCCTTTAGAATCCTAGGTATTACTCATGCCACACCATCAGATGAATGGTACTAACCTACTTCATTTCCTTAGTTTCTAAGCCAGAGCTGTCCTCTAAGCAGTTGAGAAATGAGCTTAACACCTAGTTATATGTGTTTGAATTGGTGGTTTTACTTTATATAGTTTTTTAACATATGTCTCCAACAGTTAAAATGTTACTCCCTGTATTGAATTTTGTGACATTATGACATAGGGCTTGCCTGTGCCTTGATCATGAGAAGAAAGAAAACTAAAAATAAATCAGTTTTCATAAGTGTATTGTTATAGGAAGTGCGAGTTATTGATAAGAGGCCTTGGGGTATGTAAAAAGCGGGTTTTGTGTGTGTTTTTTAACACGCCAGTACCAACCACTTGCTACAGAAGAGGCCCCTGTGTGCCTAAACAGAGAAAGCCCTCAGTTATAGCCCAGGGGAGAGGCACTGAGACACTGTGGGCATCAAACATTTTAAACAGCTGCCTTGCTGAACTGAGAAAGCCGCAAGTTATCTCTTCTGCTCCATCTATTTTCAGGAAAACAATTTTACAGCCCGATTGATCCCCGGCCTCTAAATCAGCTGACTTGCTAAGCAGCAGACTCTTACCATATGGAACCTAGAGCATCCTTTCTCCACAGATGCATCATGTGGGGAATAGCTGTGTGTGCTGTGGCTGTAACATCAGTGGTGAGAATAGTAAGCAGTTGGCTAGAACTGGGAAACGTTATCATCACAGTTTCTAGAGAATTTTATTTTTAATAAAATTTAAAATTTAAGAAAACCTGGCCACTTTTAACTCTCACCTGGAAAATTTGACATGCAGGCCTGCTCCAAATCTTTTTTTTAATATGTTTTTATTGATTTCAGAGAGAGGAAGGGAAAGGGAAAGGGAAAGGGAAAGGGAAAGGGAAAGAGATAGAAGCATCAGTTATGAGAGAGAGTCATTGATCGGCTGCCTCCTGCACAACCTCTACTGGGGATCAAGCCCACAACCTGGGCATGTGCTTTGACTGGGAATCAAACTGTGACCTCCTGGTTCATGGATGGACACTCAACCACTGAGCCACACCAGCTGGCCATGCCTGCTTCAATCTTGCCCCACATCCATTCCTACACTGGAGGAAATGGACCATGCCAATCTCAAGGCTATTTAAAAAAATTTTTTACAGCTTTATTGAGATGTAATTTACATACCATAAATTTACCTAAACCCAATGATGTAATCACAAGTGTCCACACAGAGGAAAATGGAGGAGATACTATGTCAAAGAGAAGGCAAGGTGACAAAAGCAGAGATTGGAATGGGGGCAGCCTCTGGAAGCTGGAAAGGGCAAGGAGATAGATTTGCCACTCAGCCTCCAGGAGAACCAGCCCTGCTGACATCTTGACTTTAGCCCAATGAAAATGAGTTCAGATTTCTGATCTCCAGAGCTGTAAGAGAATAAATTTGTGTTGTTTTAAGCTACTAAATGTGTGGCAATCTGTTACAGAAGCAATAGGTAATACAATAGTAATGAGTTGGAAAATATCCTAATATCCAACAGAAGGGACTAGATGGAAACAACCTAAATATCCAATAAGAGGGGTTAGTTGGAAACAACCTAAATGTCCACAGGATGGAATTAGTTACATAACTTCTGATAATTTTCAAAAGAATAGATGTCGTTTGGTCATTTTTTAAAAAATGTATTAAAAGTGATCTGGAAGGCTATCTATTAAATTATTAAAGAGCATAGGCTATGGGTCTTATATATATTAATCTTCTCTTTTAATCTGCAGTGAGCCTAAAGATAAATTGTTTTTGTAATAATAATGGAGAAAAGACAATAAAATAAGCTTAAGCAATGAAAGAAACATAAAAATAAAGGGGGAAATCTGGACATTTAAAGAGCTTGATTGGATTGGATCTCTTCATTTCTCATTTATACTAATTCAGCTTTCCCTGTATGATTTGTTCAGCATTCTTTTCAATAACTTTTCCATATTGTAAATTGGTTGAAAATAAGTACTTCTAGTTTTCAGTTCACATTTTTATAGCTTTTGTACGTAGCCTGTATATGATGTTATAACCCCTACTACAGGAATGGGCATTTATGTGCCATGAGACACAGTGTCTGTCTAGAAATGAGCATTTAGATGATGAGAATCAGCTCAGCTCAGCAAAATAATTA